GGTCCTCTGCAAGGGCAGTACATGATCTTAACCACCAGTCCCTACATCAGGAACTCTTACACTTGTAGATAGTGATTAGAAAAAGTGGTTTGTCGGGAGGAAATAAAAAGAAGGTTAACAAATCCCATCCGCCATTGGACCCAGGATGCTCCAAACATGAGCTTCCAGGAGTTTTTATAAATTGATGCCAATGACTCTGGAAGTAATTGAATAATATTTCTTGCAAGTGAAATGATTGTACTTGTGAATCTGTGTTTTCATACTTCCTGTACCTGTAAAAAAATAAACACTGGGTAGGGTAAATTTTAAACAACATAAGTTTAACTTAAAAACAGTATAAGTGTATTATTGGCAATTATGGAGTCTGGAAAGTTTAAGATCGAGCAAAGCATACACAGATTTGATGCCTATTTGAGGGCTCAGTCTTTCATTCCAAGACAGCACCTTGAATGCAGTATCCTCTGCAGAGATGAGCATACTGTATCCTCAAGTGACGAAGAGGTGGAATGGACAAAAGGAGCCTAGCTAGTTCTCTCTAGCCCATCTAATATATTTTTAAATTATGTGTATGTGTGTTTGTGCCAGTGTGAATCTATATGCCTCATGCATGGAGAAACTAGAAAAGGACATTGGGTACCCTAGAACTGGAGTTACAGGCACTGTGAGCTCTCCACTGTGGATGGTGGGAACTGAACCTGGATCATTGACAAGAATAATAAATGTTCTTAACCAGTGAGCCATCTCTTTAGCCCCACTCTAGCCCTTTTGTAGGATATTAATTCATCCTTGAGGTCAGAATCTTCCCCAGAGTCCCTACCTTTTAATACTGTCATGTTGGATCTTAGGTTCTGATATTTAGATTTTGCAGGGACACAAGCATTCTTTTAATTTTTTGTAGATTTTTTTATTTGAATTAGAAACAAGATTGTTTTACATGCCAATCCTAGTTCCCTGTCCCCCACCTCCTCCCCTACCACCTTCCTCCCTACTAAAACCCTATGTATCACATATCCTTTCTGCTCCCCAGGGAGGGTGAGGCCTTCCATAGGGGAGCATCAGAGTCTATCATATCCTTTGGGATAGGGCCTAGGCCCACCTCCGTGTGTCTTGGCTCAGGGAGTATCCCTCTATGTGGAATGGGCTCCCAAAGTCCACACCTATGCTAGGAATAAGTACTGAACTACTACAGGAGGTCCCGTAGACTTCTGAGGTCTCCTCACTGAAACCCATGTTCCTGGGGTCTGGATCAGTCCCATGCTGGTATCCCAGCTATCAGTCTGGGGATCAAGAGCTCCCCAATGTTCAGGTCAGCTGTTTCTGTGGGTTTCACTAGCCTGGTCTGGACCCCTTTGCTCATCACTTCTCTGGATTCCAGTTCAGTTCAGTGATTAGTTGTGGGTGTCTGCTTCTACTTCCACCAGCTGCTGGATGAAGGCTATAGGATGGCATATAAGTCAGTTATCAATCTCATTATCCGGGGAGGGCATTTAAGGTAGCCTCTCCTCTGTTGCTTAGATTGTTAGCTGGTGTCTTCTGTGTAGATCTCCAGACATTTCCCTAGCGCCTGATTTCTCTGTAAACCTAAAATGTCTCCCTCTATTATGGTATCTCCTGTCTTATCTTCTATTCTTCCCCTGACAACCTTTCTGCTTCCTCCTGCTCCTTCATGTCCTCCTCACCCCTTCTCATTCTCCTAGCTCCCTCTCCCTTCCCCCCATGCTCCCAATTTGCTCAGGAGATCTTGTCCCTTTCCCCTTCTCCAGGGGACCATGTATATCTCTCTTAGGGTCCTCCTTGTTTACTAGCTTCTCTGGCAGTGTGGATTGTAAGCTGGTAATCCTTTACTCCATGTCTAAAATCCAAATATGAGTGAGTACATACCATGTTTGTCTTTCTGTGATTGGTTTGCCTTGCTCAGAATGGTTTTTTCTAGTTCCATCCATTTTCCTGGGAGTTTCAAGAGTCCATTGTTGTTTTTTTTTTTCCCACTGAGTAATACTCCGTTGTGTAAATGTACCACATTTTCTCTATCCATTCTTCAGTTGAGGGGCATCTAGGTTGCTTCTAGGTTCTGGCTATTACAAATAATGCTGCTATGAACATCGTTGAACAGATGTCCTTGTTGTATGAATGTGCTTCTTTTGGGTATATACCGACATAAGCATTCTTATGCTCTCATACTAGAGCACCCTGAATAACAATATCAGTAATAGGGGCTGATAAGAAGGCTCAATAGATAAAGGCACTTGCTATTAATATCTCTGGAATCCACATAGTGGAAAGGAAGAACTGATGATGTTCTTTGACCTCCATTTGCAAACCATGGCTATATCACCCTCCACACATACACAAAATAAATAAATAAAAGTAAAAACAAACCTTGGTAATATCTCTTAAAGAAACATATGTAGAAAAAGAGACACATGAAATAATTTTTTATTTGTTACAAGAAAAAAAGCTGGACATATCCTAATAGCTAACATAATGAGAATGGATAAATACATTGTGATATAGTCATATAATATATTATCCTACAGTGAAAACCAAATGAAGTAGCTATACATATCAATGTACATAAATTTTCTAATTATAACCTCAAGCATAAAAAGGCCATAGAGCATACATCATATTAAATAATTATATAAAATTAAAAGTAAGAACAATATTATATCAGCTAGACATAATAAAATATATCAAAATATATGGATATGATGAACATAAAATTTAGAATAGTATTTCTCTCAAAGTAGAAATAAATGAAAGCTATTATTTAGGTAATTTTTTCTTAAGCTAAAATTAGGTATATGTCTATATATTGTCCTTGCATATATTTAATTATGAATATTTCATAATTAAAAAACATGGTTTTTAAATATCCACTACTAGTAAGTTATTGAGACTCTGTATCTTGGACCTTTATTGCGGTACTAGTATTTATTGGGAGTTATTACTAATTAAAATATGTCTCAATAGCTTCAATCATACTAGAAATTAATGTAGACACATTTTCAGATATGTTTCTATTTTCACCCACATCCACAAAATAACAGAAGCTAAATTAAGCAGCTATGCTACATATTGCTATGTAGCCATGATACTGACATGGGCACCTATGTTCTTTTTCAGTGGATAATATCTGAAAAGACCCCAAAGTACTTCAACTCCATAGCTATCTCAGAAAAAAATGTTAAGATTCTCATTAATTCTTCCATTCCATTAACCTCAGCAATCACTGGAACAGAAGAAAATATCTGGTATCTTTCCGTTCAGAGAGTGAGCTAGCCATGTCCTGGGAACCCAGGGCCAAACCTCTCTGTCCTGGTGTCATGAAAAATAGGTTGCTTTCATTCTCAGTTAGACTTTCAAAACTGCTTAGAAAACTAGTTACACGTGTATTCTGCTTCACACTCTTAGCAATTATTTTATACCTTTTTATATTTCATGTAAAGTCCGTGATCCCATCATTCCTTCCCTTTAGCAGTATTTATTTTCTTCCATAGGAAATGGAGGTTGTGAGATGGAATGTCCCCAGTTCATTGTGCCCTCTGAGTCATATCTTAGCTCATTGCTAATCTCCCTCCTGTATCTTCCATTTTTATCTCTGCTTTACCTCTCTCTTCTCAGTCTCTGATACGTCATATGAAGGAAGAAGAGGAAGGTGGGAAAGGGAGGGGAAAATGAGGGAAGAAGAGAGGGGGTGAGAAAGGGGCAGGAGTTGGAGTTGGACATCAACCTTGTCTCAGAGACAGACAGTGCACAGAGTGGCAGCAAGTTAATTATGTAATAAGGCACTGAGCTGTTCACTGACTTCTGTTTATGTCACTAGGGTACCAGGCTTTTCGTTTTAGCTCACTAACCAACTTCCAAGTCTTGACACAGACTTATTATTCGTTTTGAATGCTTGACCTTAGCTTAGCTCTTTTCTGACTCTTTTAACTTAAATTAACTTGTGTCTCTTTATCTTCCTCTTGCCTCGAGGATCATTAGCTTTCTTACTTCTGTATATCGTCCATTCTCTGCTTCTCTAATGTCTGGCTGGCTTCTTGCTCCGGGCGTGTCCCTTGTTCGCTCCTCTTCTCATTCTCTTGTTCTCCCTCTCTTTCTTCTTCCTTCTCCTCTTCTCACTCCTCGTCCTCTTCTCTGGGTTTCTCCTACTATTCATTCTCTCTGCCCCCCAAGCCCTGACTATATCTCTTTCCTGTCTAGCTATTGACCATTCAGCTCTTTATTAGTCCAATAGGATGTTTTAGGCAGGCAAAGTAACACAGCTTCACAGAGTTAACAGATGCAACATAAAAGAATGCAACACATCTTTGCATCATTAAACAAACATTCCACAACATAAAAGAATGAAAATATCTCTTTTTTGTAATTTACTTATTTATTTTTTATACATTGGTGTTTTGCTGGCAAGTATGTCTGTGTGAGGGTGTCAGATCTTGGAGTTACAGACAGTTGGTAGCCGCCAACTGGTGGGTGCTGGGAATTGAACCCAGGTCCTCTGGAAGAGCAGTCAGTGTTCTTAACCACTGAGCTATCTCTCCAGCCCTGAAACACATCTTAAACTAATATTCTATAACAAAATAATAAATGTTTCTATGGTTAAAATTTTTGTTCTCAGGCTTTTTGTTTTGATGGTGCTCCAGTAAACCATGTAAAAGGATATAAAAACAATTTTGAGGTTTTTGTTGTTGTTAAATATTTTCTAAACTCATCAATTAAACTCTATTTATAATATTTTTGTGTTTTTAATTTAAAATTATAGGTATGTGTATTTGTGTGTGGGTATGTACATATGAGTGCAGGAGCCCACAGGTGCCTTGGGCATCAGACCCCTCTAGAGCAGTAATCACAGGTCCCTGGGAGCTGCCTGCCATTGATGCTGGGAACCTACTAGGGTCCTCTGCAAGAGCCATATGAACTCTTAACTACTGAGCATTCTCTCCAGTTCCACACCTCTTGTATTTCTTACACTGAATTTTTTCTTCTCAGCTGTTTCATCAAACGACTCCCAAGCAGCTTCCGGGAATTTGGTGGTTAGAAAACCTGCAAAAGTGATTTTTGCTTTAGATGAAGTTGAACTGAAGTTAAAAGCACAGCAACCATGGAAGAAAAATCTTAGTGAGAAAATAGAAGCAAGAGCCCAGGTCATGCAACAGAAAATGTTAGAGAAGGAAATCCTGAAGAAGGAACAAGAAAAGATGATTACAAAAAAGCTTCCTAGGGATGAGTTGGCTGAAGACTGGTTTTATACTGACAGCATGACACTAACTACCCGTGCATACTTGCTGGACAAGCTTCTACCCATCTTGATTCCTGGAGTAGAACAAATGTTAATGCAGGTAGAAAAGAGGAAACTTTTGAGCCAAGATGATATCCCAACCAAGTTTGATCCAATTAATTATTTGGGGGAATATTTAATGAGAAACAATACTCATTATATCAAAGACCCAGGAATGTCTGGCTACCAGAGGGTGATGAAAGAAGTCACAGAAGAACTGAAGATACATGTTCCTGATACAATCAGCAACAGGTACAGTCTATGTGTGTTCAGTTGGTGATCTATCTCCTTACATTGAAAAGCTAGTAGGACAATGATGTGGAGACTTGAAAGAAATGATTTTATAGTTAATCAAGAAGCATTTGTTGGCTGGTGGTTGTGGCTCACACATGTAATCCTAGCATTTGGGAGCTGAGGTAAATTCAGTTTCTTTTTAATAATTCTAATGAGTGGAAGAATTATTTTCTGTAATATACATTTTTCTTTTATGTAGTTAGTATGTGAGTGGTGCACATGTTGGAGGTCAGAGGACAACTTTGGGGAGTCAGTGCTTATCCTCCATCTTTTTGAGGCAGGGCCTCTTGTTTCCACGGCTAAGCTATGTACTGCAAGCAAATTCAAGGTTATGTAGTAAGGCTCTGTATTAGTGAGCTCCTACCATGTGCTCCACTTTTCCAAAGCACTGCAAGGACTAATGAATTAAAATAAGTTCATTTGTTTTGTTTTATTGTGATATAGAATTTTTCTTTGAATTTCAAACTGGGCTTAAATTCACTATGTAGTCCAGACTGGCCTCAAACTCATTAGAATCCTCCTGCCTCAGCCTCCCAAGTGGTAGGATTGTAGAAATGGGCCACCACACCTAGCTAGTTACTTGAATTTGATTGTCACATTAGGACTTCAAGTATATATTTATCTCTGTATTAGACTCTCTGCACTAGAGAGTAACCAACCTACTTCAAAAGTCAAAATATATATTTTAAAAAGTTGTACAGTAAGCTGGGCATAGCGGTACATGCTGGTAGTCCCAGCCCTCAGAAGTCAGAGGCAGGTGGATCTCTGTGAATTTGAAACCAACCTGGTCTACAGAGCTAGTTCCAAAAAAGCAAGAGCTAAATAGTGAGGCCCTGTCTCAAAAAACAAAAGCAAAAACAAAACAAAACTTGTACAATAAACTGGGTGGTAGTGGCACGTGCCTTTAATCCCAGCACCAGAGAGAGGCAGGTTGAGCTCTCTGAGGTCAAGGGTAGCCTGGTCTACAGAGCAAGTTCCAGGACAGCCAGGACTACACAGAGAAACCTTGTCTAGAAAAATAACAACAACAAAAGATGTACAGGGAAAAGTTTTCTTTCTCTTGTGTGTCTACCCAGCAGCTATCTCTGCTATAGATAACTGCTATTCTATGAATCCTTACAGAGATTATTTTTATGTATACATTAACAAGTACAAATACAAATTCTCAATTTTATTGTAAAAATTAACATGAATTGCAGATATCCCCACATTGCCATTTATCTTTTGTTATACAGCTGGATTTAACTTTTATGACATCCTATTTTGAGTCAGTTACTTATTAAAATATTGCAGGGATTTGCCCACATATTCTTCTGCTCCTGTGGGGTTTTTTGTTGTTGTTGTTTTTTGTTTGTTTTTCCAAGAAATTATTTTTTATTAGTTCGAATTAGAAACAAGCCTGCTTCACATGTCAGTCCCTGCTTCCTCTCCACCCTCACCAACATTCCACCCCATCCCCCTCTACTCCCCAGGGAAGGTAAGGCCCTCCATGGGGGATCCCCAAAGTCTGTGATATCATCCTGGGCAGGGCCTAGACTCTTCCCCATGTGTCCAGTCTGAGAAAGCATCCCTCCACGTGGGATGGGCTCCCAAAGTCCTTTCTTATCCAGGGATAAATACTGATCTACTACCAGAGGCCCCATAGAGTGCCAAGGCCTCCTCACTGACATCCACGTTCAGGGGTCTGGATCAGTCCCTTGCTGGCCTCCCAGACATCAGTCTGGTGTCCATGCGCTCCCTTTTGTTCAGGTCAGCTGTTTCTGTGGGTTTCACCAGCCCAGTCTTGATCTCTTTGATCATCACTCTACCTCTCTGCAACTGGGCTGCAGAGTTCAGTTTAGTGTTTAGCTGTGGGTCAGCCACTGGATGAAGGCACTAGGATGGCATATAAGGTAGTCATCTGTTTCATTATAGGGGAAGGGCATTTAGGATAGCCTCTCCACGATTGCTTAGATTGCCAGTTGGTGTCATCCTTGTAGATCTCTGGAAATCTCCCTAGTGCCAGATCTCTCCTCGAACCTATAATGACTCCCTCTATTATGGTATCTCTCATCCTGCTCTCTATTCTTCCCCTGACTCAACCTTCCTGTTCCCCCATTTCCTCCTCTCCCCTGCTCTTTTCCCCCTCTCTTTCTCCCAGCTCCCTCTCCCCTACCCCCATGCTCCAAATTAGCTCAGGAGATCCTGTCCCATTCCCCTTCTCCAGGGGACCATGCATTCTTCTCTGGGGGTCCTCCTTGTTTCCTAGTTCCTTTGGTAATGTGGATTGTAGGCTGGTAATCCTGTTGTTTTGTTTTTTGAAACCTAGTCTCACTATACAGCCTTGGTTGATCTGAGACCTACCATGTAGATCAGGATGGCCTTGAACTCTAAGAGATCCACCAGCTTTTGCCTGCTGGAATTAAAGGCATGCACTACCATACCCTATTATGATACTAACTTTTATTTTAAATATATACAAATATAAAATAAATTTGTAATTTATGCTAGTATAAGTAAGATGTAAGATGTAGATCCAACTTTATTCTTTTACAAATGACTACTTAGTAATCCCCATAAGATTACTGAAACAAATCCACGCCCATCAGATGAAGATCTTTAACAAGGACAAGCATATCTGTGATTTCCATTTAACATTTCTTCTCTTCTTCCGTATCTATCGTGGTTGCTTAAAGTTTTCATGTGTATATGTATCCATATTTCTTTGATTTGTTGCAGGTTATCTTATAAATTTTTGTTGCTGTTATAAGTGGGCTTCTTATTTCACTACTTTTGGGGGGATCTGGAAATAATCTGAAGAAAGGAAAATTACTAATTCCTATGTACTTTTTGTTCTCTGTTGCTTTACTAAGTTTTCTTATATTCAACTGAACTGCTGGATTGGGTTTTCAAGGGAAACAACTACGCTATTTTCAAACAATAGTCTTCCGTTTCATTTTCAATTTTTTTACTTTTAATATCTCTCTCTTATCTAGTTGCCTTGACTATTACATCTAATTCAAGGGTGCACAACAGTGGCTGTATGCACATTCTTGTCTTTGATACTTCATTAGAAATGGTTCTTGTGTTACTGCTTCACCATCAACAACTTACTTTATATGCTGGTTCTTTTCTATTTGGACCTGAAATCAAACGTTTTATTATAACAAAAACGATATGAAGGGCTCTGGTTGAGGAGCTATTGATAGTTGATGGCTTCTAAGGGGAGGAGAGACCGTTTGCTTAAGGATATGGCCCCTGGTAGGTTAACCATGGACTGGTACCTGGCACCACACTTGTGAGTTTATGGGCAGCACCAGCAGCACTCTCTCTCTCTCTCTCTCTCTATATATATATATATATATATATATATATATGGAACATGAAATTGGGTGGGGTGAGGTGGGAGTGGAGCTGGGAGGAAGGCATTAGGAGTAAATGTGATTAAAATACGTTTTATACATGTATGCAATTCTTGAAGAATTAATAAAAATAGTATATTAAAAATTATGTAAAGGCTGGGTGGGCATTAGCTCCGGGGCAGAGCATTGGCCTAATATGGACATGCTGACCTCAACCTCATGGATATTGGGATTATAGGTATGCGTCATGGTGCCAGTTTGGGGGTGTACTTTTTCAATTCTGAAAATTTGGGCTCTTAATAACGTTGACATAATAATGAAACAACTTATGACAATAAAACCTAGATCAGTTTTTGGGTTTATCCAAAGCTGCTTATATATTAAGTGAGCTCATATAAAAACCGGAAAAAGCTGGGCATGGTGACTCATGCTTATAATCTCAGCATTTGAGAAGGTAAAACAGTAGGATCACCACAAGTTTAAGGCCAGCCTGAGCTACATAGCTCCTTTCAGGAAGGCCAGCCTGAGTCACAGAGTAAGACTTCATCTCAAAACAAACAAACAAACAAACAAACAAACAACAACAAATAAACCACTGAAGAAACTAGGGTATGTTCATTTGTTTTATGTATATAAGTATTTTGCCTGCATGTGTGTCTGTGCATCACATGTGTACCTGGTGCCCATGAAAGCCAAAAGAGCACATCAGATCCACTGGAACTGAAGTTACAGATACTTATGAGCCACCATGGGGATGCTAGGAATCGAACCTTGGTCCTCTGGAAGAGCCAGTGAGTGCACTTAAGAGCCATTTTTCTAGCCCCAGAAATCAGGATTTAAAATATTTTATTTATACCAAGAAAAAACTTTTACTTTATGATTTATTTTTTAATTAGTATACATAATAGTGGATTCCCTTATATTTTCACACATTCATTCCCTACACTTTGTTCTACCCATCCCCTCGTTACTAGCCCTTGTTTTTTTTCTCCCTCTCCATTAATTCAACTCCTCCTCTGGAATAGATAAAACCTTCTTAATCCATTACTCAAAATCATGAAAATATTGGTACATTTGGTTACATAAACATTGAAATAATTTTGCTTGGAAAATTGAGTCATGACCACTCAGTTTTTCTATTGTAAAAAAAAACAGCCACAGACAACATATAAATGAGTCAGGGTGGCTGTGTACCCTTGAGTTTCTGTTCCAACTGGTCCTGCCACTCTTAGCCCCAAATAAACATGCAGAGGCTTATTAATTATAAACTGTTTGGCTGATGGCTCAGGCTTCTTAGTGGCTAGCTCTCTCTTAATTATTAACCCATAATTATTAATCTGTGTATTTCTACGTGGCCTTATCTTACCAGACAATGTCTGGTGCATCCTATCTTCCCAGTAGCTACATGGCATCTCCTGGCTGCTTCTCTCTGCCTTCCTCTCCACAAAATTCTCGTCATCTGGTGGCCCTGCCTATACTTTCTGCCTGGCTACTGGACAATCAGTGTTTTATTCATCAACCAATAAGAGAAGCATATATACAGAAGGACAGCCCCCATCACTAGCTCATGCTTAGCTTCCATTTTTATACATCCCAGAACAGCCTGCCTGAGGACTG